AATATAAATTCGCAAGTAGGATGGACATTGGGTCAGAATCCGATGTTTCTTGCATCAGGTCCAGGGGAATACTTCAGCCCGGGCGGGAGGGTGGTAGAACGTATTTTCTCTTTAGGACGGAAACTATACTTTGCCTGTCTTGATACTGTCCTCTCCACTTCTCGTGCAAACATCCCACCCTCCCACCCGCTACTTGGTCGCAAGACCTCTTAAGACCGTGACGGTAGGTACCACATGGAACTTGGCAACGACACCGACGCCGACGACGACAGCGACGACGAAATCGACGATGACTACGACGACACCGATGATGACGACGACGACGACGACAACCATGACAACGACGCCGACGACGACGACGCCGACGACGACACCGACGACAACGCCGACGCCGCCGACGACGACGACGATGACGCCGACGACGACCTGTTAAGACCGTGACGGTAGGTCCCAAATGGCACTTGGCAGCGGCACCGACGCCGACGACGACAGCGACAACGACGACGACGACGCCGACGACGACTACGACGACACCGACGACGACTCCGACGACTTCGACGGCTTCGACGGCGACGACAACGACGACACCGACGACAACGACTTCGACAACGACAACGACACCGACGACTACGACGACAACGCCGATGACTCCGACGCCTTCGACGACGACGACAACCACGACGACGACGACGACACCGACGACGCCGCTGCCGACGACGACGACGCTGACGACGACGACGACGTCGCCAACGAAAACGACGACAACGAAGAGGGAGAAGGGAGGACGACGACGGCGACAACGACGACAACGACGAGGGAGGAGGGAAGATGGCGACGACGCGAACGACGAAGAAGGAGGGAGGACGGCGACGCCGACGACGACAACGACGGGGGAGGAGGGAAGACGACGACGACGACGAAATAGGAGGGACGACGACGAGACGCCGACGACGGACGACGACGATGACGACGAGGAGGAAGGACGACCACGGCGACAACGACGACGGAAACGACGACGACGCCAAAAGGACGACGACGACGAGGAAAGACAGAGGACGACGACGGCGACAACGACGACGACGAGGGAGGAGGGACGACGACGACGACGCCGACGCAAGAGCGCGCGCGCACGCTTTTGTTGAAAATCCGGGTTGCGAAGCCGTGTGTCCTTGCATGTTTTTTTGGACACTCGATTTTGAATCCCTTCCGAAACCGCGAGTTTTTGAAGGATTGCGGCATGCACGCGCGACGACGCGAGCGCGTGCACTTCGTCTTGTTTTCTGCAACGGATTCTCGCGACGGCACGCGCGCAAGGGCGTTCGAACGATTTCGATATGCGCGCGCGAAGCACGTTGGTAGAATTTCCTGAAAATGTTGAAAAACGTATGGTTCTCGGAAAATCTCGCAAGAGCGCGCGCTTAAACTTCTTTCGGAAATCCGTGTTGCGAAACCCTGTGTGTTTGTATGTTTTTTGGGGAACACGATTTTGAAATCCTTATGACGACGACACCGATGACGACTACGACGACACCGACGACGACTCCGACGACTCCGCCGACGACTCCGACGACGACACCGACGACGACGACGATGCGGCCGACGACGACGACGCCGACGACGACGCCGACGACGACGCCGACGCCGACGCCGACGACGACGCCGACGACGACAACGACGACGACAAGGACGACGACGACGAAATAGGAGGGACGACGACGAGACGCCGACGACGGACGACGACGACGACGACGACGACGACGACGAGGGAGGCGACCACGGCCACAACGACGACGGAAACGACGACGACGCCAAAGAGGACGACGCCGGCGACGACGACGAAAAACAAGCTGATCACGCCGACGACGATAACGGCGTCTTCGCGTCGGTGATGAAGGTTTTGGAAGGAATTCGAAATGCGCGCGGCAGGCGCGCGAGAGAGAGTGGGTCGCATGGTGTCATTTGTCACGGATCGTGCCACCCCAGCATGCGCGCAAGGGCATTCGAACGATTTCGACATGCGCGCGCGCGAAGCCGGTTTGGTAGCATTTTATGAAATAGTTGAACAAACGTATGGTTTTCGGAAGAATTCGCAAGAGCGCGTGCGCACGCTGTTATTGATAATCCGTTTTGCGAAGCCATGTGTGTTGTATATATGTTTTGGGCAGTCGATATTGCATTCTTTCCGAAACCGAGAATCGGTGAAGGATTCAGGCGTATGCGCGCGCGACAACGCGCGCGTGTGCACTTCGTTTCTTATTTCTTGCAAGGGGTTCTCGCGACGGCACGCGCGCAAAGGCGTTCGAACGATTTCGGCAATGCGCGCGCGCAAAACCTGTCAAAACCATGCGTTTTTATGCTTGTTGGACACTCGATTTTGAAAGCTTTCCGAAACCGATAAATTTTTGAAGGATTTCGGCACGCGCGCGCGACATCGCGCGCGTGTGAATTTCGCCGCGTTGTTTGCAAGGGACTCGTGCAAATTGTTGAATTTTGATAAACG